GGCTTTTTGTCCATCGAGCTGAAGACATAGCTTCTGAAATACCTCAAAGGTAAATTTCAAGTGCTTGGGATAGCTAAGGTTAAGGGCATAGATCACTCCCATCAGCAAAGCACAGGCGACAGGTCTACGTCGAGGTTCTCCACATCCTTGTAAAGGAAATTAGAAGGTGTTAGGATGTATAAAATGCATAGCTCAAGCTCTTCAGGGTGATGTGCATTAGGGAATGCAGGGTGACCATGTACTTCAACGCATAGCAGAGGCTGGTGTATTAAAACAGCCATATCTCCAAGTGGGAAGGCTACAGAGACATGCAGTTCAAACAAAATTAAAAGCGTACTCAATTACTTATGTTATAATGTTTGAAAAGGTCCTCCTCCTTATCTCCAAGTGTCACGGTGTGGTTTCATTTGTTGTCTTATTTTGTAGTTTTCTGCTTCTTGTCTCCCTGGGTAACTTCACTACCTGCCCGGTCCTGTCATCCCCTGTAATTGTCTGATCGTTTCCACCTGTGTCCAATCACCTGCACCTCCTAGTGTATTTAAGCCGTGTGTCTCTTGTCACTGTCTATTGTCCTGGATGTTCCTCGTTTCTGCCTGCCTTTTGCCCCCTCTTCCTGTCTTCCTTTTTGCCCCGTTCCTGTGCAGACCCGCTGCCAGACGATGGACCTAACTACATGGATATTAGGAGCCCGTTCTGGCAGCGGAAGACAAAATTTGTATTCGGTCCCAGGAGCTATCAGCTCCCCTGCCTCGAGCTCCGGGACCTCCTAAATCCCAGCAGGAGCACTGGCAAGAGGAAGCACCGACCTCCCGTTCCCGCTGGGCCGCCGCAGCAATCTCCCGTTCCCGCTTCTCGACTAGCTCCTCCGATCCTGCCCCTGACCCTGACTCAGCCAGTACCGGCCCCGAGACTCCAGGCCCCGACCCCAGACGCCGACGCCTCCAGTCCCCGCTCCCCGACTCGGGCAACCCTCCCTCCCATCCCATGGACCTCTCCCACCCCCCTGTTGGTGATCTGGGGGCCGTCTGGGATCTGGCCCTTGAGCCGCCGGCGACTCCGGATGCCGGCGGCAATATGGATGCCTACCTGGCTGTAACGTGCCATTTTGTGGGTGAGAAAACCACACTCAGTTCAGTGCTGTTAGGACATTTTTTGGGGCATTTCCCCCAATCACACACTGCTGAAAATATAGCTTGTGTGAAAGCCCTGATGGAGGAGTGGGGAATTGCCAATAAGGTGACATGTGTGGTCACTGATGATGCTCCCAATATGGTTGCCTGTGTGAGAGAGCTGAAGCTTCGGCACCATATTTGCGTTGCACACACGCTGAATCTGATAGTGAAGAAGGCACTTGACCAGCAGCCTGTGCTCTCTGGTGGGCTTCTTTAGAAGCAGCACCACTGCTAAGGTATGCGCTTTCCCTTTATTCCAATTTCATTTAACTCTAAGAGTTTGTCTGTGTTCCTACTGCAGTGATTTAATGGCCTACTCATCTGTATCTTTAAAGGATAAGCTTACACAAGTGCAACTTCATCTGGGGATGGCAAACATGAAGCTAATGCAAGAAGTGGAGATTCAGCCAGTAGGAGCAGCGTTAGCTGGGTTACAACATGACATCCCCTTCCTAACAGCCAAAGAGTTCAACATTGTTGGAGGGTGCCTTTCTTTGCTGTCTCCCTTCTATGATCCCCTGTAGAGCTGTCGGCAGAGGAAAACGTGCCTGCCTCCAAAGTTGTCCCCCTCGTGAAGATGCTGGAGGACACCCTTCAGGAGGAAATGACAAAGCCGGCACCTGAAGCAGCGTTGGAAATGGGAGACCTACGGTGGCCCTGAAGTACAAAACACAACGGAATTAACTTCTTACGGAAAGGGTAGGGCCTTATAGCAGAGGACGGACCCTTCTGATTGGACAGACGGACTGTCTGTCTTTGTTAACAACTATTTTAGACCTTTTTTAACTGTATGTGGCATTAAAATACAACCCTACACATGTGTAACATTATTATAAAACCTGAGACTAATGCTGCTGTTATTTACATCAGACCGCTCAGAGTGAGTGCACAGTAAAATATCACGATCATATACGACGAAGGATCTTTGTTTGACTGAGAACGTTATCAGTTGTTCTGACTGAAAGTCAGACTACAAGCTGCTGTTATCAGTCGTGCTTAATGTGTTTCATGGTACTGAAATACAGCAAAGAGAAGTGATTAAACCCCATTAAAAGGAGACAAAACATGATCCTTGCTGTAATCTGATTATCTAATCAGAGCATTTCTCAGTGAAGTTTCTCACGTCTGAATTACGTGATTTTCTCCGTTTTGTGTAGTGAATTACTGTCCGATGGTTTTACTGTTTTCACTGTTTGAATTACTTGTGTTTCTTAGCTTTGTCTGCAAATTAAATGTTGTTCACAGCAAAAGAAGGAACCTAAACTTCACTGAGCAGAAGTCTCACTGCTTTGTCTTCAGTCTTCATTCAATAGGAGATCGTTCCTTTGTTACAAGGAATAAAATGTAGCAAAGCTGTGAAAGACACGTCGCTTTAGTGTTTTGAAAAGCTCTTAGACTGAGATACACATCAAATAAAACCTATAACATGCTAGTTTGAGTTGCCACTGAGCCACACGCCTCCCTCGCCGTAAAACACACACACAACCTATTATTTGTTTCACATGTAAGTGAAAAAAGGAAAATATAAAAGGTTTTCTATTCTCTGGAACAGACAGAAGCAGAGAATCACAACAAATCTTCCCAGAATGCAACCTGATTTCTTCTCCCACTTTCTGTCTCTGGCAGTTCATGAGGCCTTTATGGCTGCACCTCCTTCAGGAGTCAGGACCGGTCCCAGAGCGCCCCTGCTGGACACGAACAGCTCTTCCCTCTGTGCCGCTTCTGGGAATCACCTGATGAGGCCGCTGGGTTTCGTCTTGGTGTCTAGTGTGTGACACACAGTTCTGCCACGATGTGCAGATTATGACAAACACAACTTATATCTCTGCCTGAAGCTTCTTGCCCGCCTCGCTGTGCCACATTCCTCTGGAGTCGTTATCTGCCGTAACCCGTTTCTCCCCCAACTATGCGCCATTCGCACCAACTACATTACATACTATTTATCATTATCATACATCATTTAGCAGACGCTTTTATCCAAAGCGACTTACGTTACACTTTAAACCCATGGCTTTTTCACATTTTTGCCTGGGGAGCAATTAGGGGTTAGGTGTCTTGCTCAGGGACACTTCAACGTGGAACATGGGGCAGCCTGGAATCGAACCAACAACCTTGTGCTTCCCAGCACACCTTCTCTAACCCCTGCGCCACGACGACCCGGAACTAGGAGCGCCCGCCTCTCTTGTAGGGGGCACACTTTGCTTTTAACACAAAAAGAACAAAAATAAGTTGTTTTAATACATGGACATGAACTTAAATGCGGCTCCTACAATACATGTATGCATTTTGGGGGTTGGACATGCTGACAATAGGAGATCAAAGCACCCGCCTCATGATTAGAGGACGATCTCTACCAACTGAGCCACAGCTCCTACTGGCTGTCTTCTTCTAAGTCGCTTTTGAACGACTTCAAAATAAGTAAAAGACAACTATCACTGCCGATAATGTAGTTTTTATGTCTTTGAAATGGACACGTTTACAATTTCATAATCAAGCCACAAATCCCTGATTGAACACGTCATTTGGTGTTTGTAACGTGGGTCTGTGAGGAATCCAGGAGAGTTTCAATATTCAGTCTTTATTTACTGTTTTAATACAACACACATCCAGCTCCAGCCTCTTCGCCTCGCTCAGTCCTCCTCGATGTCGCCGGATCTCCCCTACTGAAGGCAGAACACACGCTGATATATTTCACCTGAGGCCAATTATGCCTCCTCCCCTCTCCGTCCCCTCTGCAGCTGAGCCAACTCACGCCCGCCACCAGTGTTGTAATGATCTTGTTCAAGATTTCTGATGTTGATGCTCAAAGACACACATTAAAAAATGTATGTATGCTCGAACTGCACACTAAGTTTGAATTTGAAATCCTGCAACTCTGTATTGATTAGTTATCTCAACTAGACGGAGACACAGACCTTGGAGAAGCCTTGACGCATGTCTCGTGTGTATATGTCATGAATTGGGAGACTAAGACGCAGACCTTCCACCTTCATGCATAACGTGTGTGTTGTCTCAAGTATATAATTCAGAGGGCTGAGACGCAGACCTCCGAGCAGCAACTCAACACACGACTTGTTTCAACTCTGCTCCTACTTGCTAGTGTTCTTTAATAAATGTCCTGTTCAATGATTTCACACACGTGTTGATTAGGACGGTCTTAATCAATGCGTCTCATGTTTTATTGTTTAATAGAAAGTAAAACCCTCTTCAGATATGTGAAGAATCACTGCTTTGCCCCTAAAATGTTCACTCTTCTTGCTCTTTTGTTGGACGTCTGCAGGTCAAAGACTCGTCCATTTATCCTCAGAGACAACAGAGAACACTGAATATTCAGATCATTGTAGATACTACGACCACAACATGTGCTGATAAGACGCAGGATTTACAAATGTTATTTTGTTACGATAAAATGATCTCAGGCGATGTGAGTCTTCCATTTGCAGCAACTCCCAGCATGCTTTGAACCAGTGAAGTGAAGAACACGACGTTTAGAGTCCAAAGGGAAACAACATGCATGTGATTGTGGCTGCAGTCACAGAGGGGAAGCACATGGAATCACAACAACACACAAACATCTGGAGCATTTATTGAACAGCAGGACAAAGGTACAAAAAGGGGAAATGGAGCAACTTCATTCCACCTTCATCTACAAAACAAGAAGTGATTCAGAGCATCACTGTTCAACTCCCACGAAACCAAGAAGGAAAACATCCCTTGATCCGAAACAGCAGCAAGAAATAGTCAATAACATTTCAATCAGTGTGCTCGGATGATTCAAACCCAAATTTAAATAATATGATACTTTAAAAAGGATCAAAAGACGTTATGAACCAATAAACATACTGATTTATTCAGAAAACCCTCAAATTATTATTTTCTTCAACCTGTTAAATTCAATCTACTGCAAAGAAAAATACAAGCAAACTATTTACACAATCAAAAAATAAATGTTTTAATGTCAATATTTTGTGTGTGTGTGTGTGTGTGTGTTGGGGATGGACTCCCTCCCCGTCCACACAGAGAGCTGGAAGCCAGTTTCTCACCAGCATGAGACGCAGACAGACAGACAACCAGCTCACAGAGTGTCTGGATGTCGCTGATGTGTTTGCAGTGTTTCCCCAGTGATGGAACCCAACGTGTGTGTGTGTGTATTTACACGTTTGTTACCAACAATGATTCAACCCAAACAGCAGAAGTATCAAAGAGTAAATATGGTGGATTTGTTTGAGATGAACACACTAGTCTGTGAGCACTTTGATGCTTTCATTGATTTGAACGTCTCCTAAAATAATCATCCTCGTTTTATTTCATTTCAACCTTTTTATTAAAACCAAACTACCCAAATAATTAAATGTGACTATTGATGTTTCCTCAGTTTCCAGATGTTCACCAACCCTGATTCAGACGTTTAAATGAAAGATGAGCCATAAATTGACAGTTTATGGAGAAGAATGTGGAGCATCGCTTGTTGATCCAGAGCAATATTCACCCATAAACCTAAAGAGAGAAACAAATACATAAAAGAGAAAACGAAATCATTCACCACAAACTACTTTGACTCCATTTTGATAAACATGTGTTAGTGAGTTCCTAGAAGTTAATGTAAGAGCTTTGAATATCAGACTTTATCTGAGGAGCTGATGTGAAGCTTTCTGTGTCTTTCTCTTAATAATCTCACGTCTCACGGAACCAAACTGCACCTTTGTTGTAGAAAAAGTCAAAGACTTCTTTACATGAGAAGCTCCTTGTGCTCATACTGAGGGCAGCTTTGTGGAACAGCAGCTGTGAATAGTTCATGTCCACGTGGAGCTACTCACTGTGTGCAGGACGCCGACTTCAAGGTTTAGGGTTCAGTTTGTCCCTGAGAGACTCTCTTCTTCGGATTTGTCAGAAGGACATTTGGCTGAAATAAAAAGCAAAGAGAATTTCAGTGTTTAGTGTTCTAACAGCTTCCTCCCAGCAGATACAATCTCAGTTTTTTAACCTATTTCTTCCTCTAAAAGCTAAAATGACTTTCAACAACAGCCTGAAGAAACAACTAACTACGTTAAAGTGTCTCAAGTGCAAAACAATCACAGAATTGTCTAAAAGTAAAATGGCACTAAACAATAAATGCAGAATAAAAGCAAATCTGGTTTTATAGGTGTGACTGGTGAAAGTTGCTTCAGTGTCTCATTCTGGATAAAAGCATCAACTCAAAGCCTAAAATCAAATGCTCCTCAACACTGTCTCTGATCGTCTCTCTCACCGTTCCTGTTTCTGTAAACCTTGAATCCAACCACAGCAGCGATGATGACGACAAGAACAGCCACAGCGATGATGATGATGAAGGTGGAGGCTTCTCTGTGGAGCACAAAACAATCAAAGAGTCTTAAGCTGAACAGATGAAGCAGGTCAGAAGAGAAGAAGATCCACTTATCCAGCAGACCTGAACACACACACCATGTGACGTCATTTCTTTATGCCGTCTGCACATGAGGACTGAGACACATATTCAACCTCCTTCCTGAACTTTGCTCTGTCTGATTCACTGATGGATACATGTATTAATACACGTGTTTAATCATTCTGTCTACTCATCTTTAAGTGACCAGTAGTTGTGTGAATGCAGATTCTACAACGTCTGAATTGTGGTGACACGTTACAATAGTTCAGCACGGACTCAAATAAAGCTCTTACCTGGAATGAGTTTACAAAAGGATCCATCCATCCATCCATCCATCCATCTTCAACCGCTTATCCGGGGTCGGGTCGCGGGGGCAACAGCTCCAGCAGGGGACCCCAAACTTCCCTTTCCCGGGCCACATCTACCAGCTCTGACTGGGGGATCCCATGGCGTTCCCAGGCCAGTGCAGAGATATAATCTCTCCACCTAGTCCTGGGTCTTCCCCGGGGCCTCTTCCCAGCTGGCCGTGCCTGAAACACCTCCCTAGGGAGGCGCCCAGGGGGCATCCTCACCAGATGCCCAAACCACCTCAACTGGCTCCTTTCGACGCAAAGGAGCAGCGGCTCTACTCCGAGCTCCTCGCGAATGGCTGAGCTTCTCACCCTATCCCTAAGGGAGACGCCAGCCACTCTCCTGAGGAAACCCATTTCGGCCGCTTGTACCCGTGACCTAGTTCTTTCGGTCATGACCCATCCTTCATGACCATAGGTGAGGGTAGGAACGAAGATTGACCGGTAGATCGAGAGCTTTGCCTTCCGGCTCAGCTCTCTTTTCGTCACAACGGTGCGGTAAAGTGAGTGCAATACCGCCCCCGCTGCTCCGATTCTCCGGCCAAACTCACACTCCATCTTCCCCTCACTCGTGAACAAGACCCCGAGGTACTTGAACTCCTTCACTTGGGGTAAGGACACATTCCCTACCTGGAGTAGGCAATCCATCGGTTTCCTGCTGAGAACCATGGCCTCAGATTTAGAGGTGCTAATCCTCATCCCGACCGCTTCACACTCAACTGCGAAACGCTCCAGTGAGAGTTGGAGGTCACAGACGGAAGATGCCATCAGGACCACATCATCTGCAAAAAGCAGCGATGAGATCCGCAGCCCCCCGAACTGTAGACCCTCCTCCCCCCGACTACGCCTCGATATCCTGTCCATGAAGACCACAAACAAGATTGGTGACAAGGCGCAGCCCTGGCGAAGGCCAACCCCCACCGGAAACGCCTTCGACTTACTGCCGAGCACCCGAACACAGCTCTCGCTTTGGGCGTACAAGGATTGGATGGCCCCAAGCAAGGACCCCCTCACCCCGTACTCCCGCAGCACCTCCCACAGTATCTCTCGGGGGACCCGGTCATACGCCTTCTCCAAGTCCACAAAACACATGTAGACTGGTTGAGCATACTCCCAAGCCCCCTCTATGATCCTGGAAAGAGTGAAGAGCTGGTCCGTTGTTCCACGACCAGGACGAAAACCGCATTGTTCCTCTTCAATCCTTGGTTCGACTATCGGCCGAACCCTCCTTTCCAGCACCTTAGAGTAGACTTTACCCGGGAGGCTGAGTAGTGTGATACCCCTGTAATTGGCACACACTCTCTGGTCCCCCTTTTTAAAGAGGGGTACCACCACCCCGATCTGCCACTCTTTTGGCACTGTCCCAGACTTCCACGCAATGTTGAAGAGGCGTGTCATCCAAGACAACCCCCCAACACCCATTGCTTTTAGCATCTCTGGACGGATCTCATCAATCCCCGGGGCTTTGCCACTGCGGAGTTGTTTGACTACCTCAGTGACTTCCACCAGGCTAATTGACGATGATCCCTCCTCCGCCTCCAGCTCCGCCTCCACCAAAGAGGGCGTAGTAGTTGGATTCAGGAGTTCCTCAAAGTGTTCCTTCCACCGCCCGATAACCTCCTCAGTCGCGGTCAACAGGGTCCCATCCTTACTGTACACAGCTTGGATGGTTCCCCGTTTCCCCCTCCTGAGGTGCCGGATGGTCTTCCAAAAACACTTTGGTGCCGACCGAAAGTCCTTCTCCATAGTTACCCCGAACTCCTCCCATACTCGCTGCTTTGCCTCCATCACGGCAGAGGCTGCTGCCCTTCGAGCCTGTCGGTACACTGCAACTGCCTCTGGAGTCCCACCGGATATCATAACCCGGAAGGCCTCCTTCTTCAGTCGGACGGCTTCCCTGACCACCGGTGTCCACCACGGAGTTCGAGGGTTACCGCCCCTTGATGCACCTAAGACCTTGAGGCCACAACTCACCGCCGCGGCTTCAGCAATGGAGGTTTTGAACATAGACCACTCTGGTTCAATGTCCCCTACCTCCACAGGAATGTGAGAGAAGCTCCGCCGGAGGTGTGAGTTGAAAATCTTTTGGACCGGGGCCTCCTCCAGACGTTCCCAGTTCACCCTCACTACACGCTTGGGTTTACCGGGTCTGTCCCGAGTCTTCCCCCATCCTCTGACCCAGCTCACAACCAGATGGTGATCAGTTGACAGCTCTGCCCCTCTCTTTACCGGAGTGTCCAGAACATGCGGCCTCAGATCAGACGATACGATTACAAAATCGATCATTGATCTTTGGCCTAGGGTGCTCTGGTACCACGTACACTTATGAACATCCTTATGTTCGAACATGGTGTTTGTTATGGACAATCCGTGACTAGCACAGAAGTCCAGTAACAAACACCCGCTCGGGTTCAGATCAGGGAGGCCATTCCTCCCAATCACGCCTCTCCAGTTATCTCCATCGTTGCCCACGTGCGCATTGAAGTCTCCCAGTAGGACTATGGAGTCCCCTACAGGAGCCCCATGCAGGACTCCATTCAGGGTCTCCAAAAAGGCCGAATACTCTGAGCTGCTGTTTGGTGCATATGCACAGACAACAGTCAGAGTTTTCCCCCCCACCACCCGAAGGCGTAGGGAGGCGACCCTTTTGTCCACTGGGGTAAACTCCAATGTAGCAGCACTCAGCCGGGGACTTATGAGTATCCCCACACCCGCCTGGCGCCTCACACCATGGGCCACTCCGGAGTAGAATAGAGTCCACCCCCTATCCAGGAGTTTGGTTCCAGAGCCGAGGCTGTGCGTAGAGGTAAGCCCCACCAGATCCAACTGATAACGCTCCACCTCCCGCACAAGCTCCGGCTCCTTCCCCCCCAGAGAGGTTACGTTCCACGTCCCCAGAGCCAGCATCTGCCGCCCAGGTCTGTTCCGTCTAGACCCCCCACTGTCACTGCCACCCTTGTAGCAGCGCACCCGACCCCATCGGTTTCCTCCACAGGTGGTGAGCCCATGGGGAGTAGAGTGTTGGGCTGCCGCGTCACTCCTTCGGGCTGTGCCCGGCCGGGCTCCGCGGTAAACCCGGCCACCAGACGCTCGCTGTCGGGCCCTCCATCTGGGCCTGGCTCCAAATGGGGGCCCCGGGCTTCCTCCGGGCCGGGTAACTCCTTCCCTCTTCCGTTTTTTCATGGGGGTTTTGAACCATTCTTAGTCTGGCCCCTCGCCTGAGACCACTTTGCCAAGGGTAACCCTACCAGGAGCACAAGGCTCCCGACAACACAGCCCTCAGGTTCATAGGGACACACAAACCTCTCCACCACGATAAGGTGACGGTTCCCAGAGAGGGAACCGTCACCTTCAGATAAAAGTGAAGGAACCGTTATTTAAATGCATTTCTTGATCTAAACTTTTCTGACTTTCCATGACAATTTTCCACCAAAGACTTTTTGAAGATCATTTTTCCAACAGAACTTTTTTTTTCCCAAACATTTTTTTAAACTTTTCGTCTCTTGACATTTTATATATTTTAAGACATTTCTTGACAAATAAGCCTAAAAAAAAGATAAATCAACGACACTCTCAGATACTCGTTAAATTAGATATCACATATAATAAAGATATATTTGTATTTTATCTTCAATGAGGACGGAACAAACAATTATCTGAAAGGAACAAGGACCTGGTGAGTCGAGACCAGACGTATTAAAGACTGCCGACGATACGGAGACTGGCTTTTTTAAGGGTCTATGGGAACTAAAAATATATTTAATGGGTTTAAGATTTGGAAAAACTGCAACGTTGTTATAAATAAGTGAAGCAAAACACTGACAACAAAGACTTTTCCTTTATAAATAAACAAAAGACCGCAGAAAACTCTTTAAGAAAATAACTATAAAGAAATTAAATCACAGATTTGTAATTGAAAACGCTGATCTACTGAAAAAAACTATGAAGTTCATCTTTGGACTCGTTCAGCTCAGAATCGATGGACCAACCGGACCACCAACGGGTCAATACGTCCTCGTGATGCAGCAAGGCTCCTTCCACAGAACTACAGTTACTTTAGTACATTTTCTCCCCTGCTGGACAATAAAACATTGAAATGTGATGATTGACTCCCATAGAGTTCTGATCTGGTGCCCTTAACCCCTCCTCCCCGGTCCCTCTGCCCCCCCCCCCAGGTGCTCCACCCGCTCCAGCAGCGCTTCCTCAACCTCATCAACCAGGACAACTTCGCCCAGATCAGCCAGGAGGAGGCGGTGAAGCGGGAGATCGTCGCCACGCTGGAGGCGCTGTGCGGCATCGCCGAGGCAACGCAGATCGACAACGTGGCCTCGCTCTTCTCCTTCCTCATGGACTTCCTGTCCAGCTGCATCGGCCTCATGGAGGTGGGGGCGGGGCCGTGTTTGAGTGCCTCTCCACCCGTCAGCGGGACGTCCGTCTGACCTCTGCTGTTGTCGTTGTTGTTGTTCAGGTCTACAGCAACACGCCGGAGACCATCAACCTCATCATCGAGGTGTTTGTGGAAGTGGCTCACAAGCAGATCTGCTACCTGGGAGAGGTGATGTTCCACCTCCATGTACTCCTGTTAACGACCCACTGACTTGACGTTAAGGGTTAAAATGAATGAATTCGGCCCTTTTGCACATTCTACGCGCTGAACGTGCACTTCTGCTCTTCTTCGTGGTCCCCGTCCTCCGCCCTGCGGCTGCAGACCAAGTCCATGAAGCTGTACGAGGCGTGCCTCACGCTGCTGCAGGTCTACTCCAAGAACAACCAGTGCCGGAAGAGGAGCGACGCGGCGGCGGAGGAGGACCAGTACCAGGACCTGCTGCTCATCATGGAGCTGCTCACCAACCTGCTCTCCAAGGAGTTCATCGACTTCAGCGACACCGGTGGGTTCAGAGAGGCCTCGCAGGCGATCGACAGATCTTCTCATTTCATTCCACGTGAGCGCGTGTTCACACGGCGCCCTCTGCTGGGAGGAGGAAGGAATGTGGCTCTTGTTTAGTTTCGCTTCATCACATTCTCACTTCGTCGTTTGCATTTTAGTGTCATGTGTGGTTTCCGGCGTCGGACCTTCGCTAAGAGGAAGCGTTTCTTTCAGACGAGGTGTTTCGTAACCAGGACCAGGGAACGCCGGCCTCCGGTCGGACGGTGTCGGCGGCGGACGTGGTCCTCTACGGCGTCAACATTGTCCTCCCGCTCATGTCCCAGGACCTGCTGAAGGTGGTGATCCTCCAGACAGATGCTCTCGTGCAGCAGTAGATCATTTGGCTGATGCATGAATAGATGAATTTGATTGAATGCGATACAACTTTATTCACCACCCGTGGCGATGTTATTTTGGGGCTACACCTAATGTGGTTTTGTTCCCGTCTGTCCCAGTTCCCCTCGTTGTGCAACCAGTACTACAAGCTCATCACCTTCATCTGCGAGATCTTTCCAGAGAAGATCCCTCAGCTGCCTGAAGACCTCTTCAAGAGCCTCATGTTCTCCCTGGAGCTCGGGATGACCTCGTATCCTCCCACGCCGTTTATTAATCCAAAGATCTGGTTTTGAACTGCTCGGGGACACGCCCCCTTTTCTTCCACAGGGGGAATCGGCACAAAGCCAAAGGTCATCGCAATTATTTTTCTAATTCTAACTTTGTGTTTGAGATGTTTGTGCTGCACTTTGATACCAGAGGAGCCGGTGTAACGTGCATCAAAGCCGCTGGCGCCTCTTTTAAATGGCGTGTGTTGAAGTAGTGAGGTGGACGTCTGTGCCCCTTGACCTCTGCGTTCAGGATGAGTTCTGAGATCAGCCAGCTGTGTCTGGAGGCTTTGTCTCCGCTGGCCGAGCAGTGCGCCAAAACCCAGGAGAAGGACACGCCCCTCTTTGTCGCCACCCGTCACTTCCTTAAGGTGAAGCTCACGATGACCTGAACAATAATAATATTATTATTTATTACTGGAATGATGCGAGCTTTTGTTTAATTAACACCCGTCACTTGTGCAGCTGGTGTTCGACATGTTGGTGCTGCAGAAACACAACACGGAGATGACGGTGGCAGCGGGAGAAGCTCTCTACACCCTCGTGTGCCTCCATCAGGTGAACTCACATCGTCCTTCGGTCCATAAAACTCACACGATGACGTTTTATTAAAAGTTGTTCCTCTGGAATATTTTCCCCAAGAGCATAAAGTTGTTCTCTCATGTTAATGTAGCAAAGAAATTAGTAAAATAATGAGAGAATAAATAATAAATGAATATATTTCAGTCATATGTACACTTTCTTCTCTTTTAGGTGGTATATATCATTTTTTATTAAGTTTGTTTTTAGGGCTGAACAATAACAAAACTCATTCGTGGCAAAACTTCAAATCAGATATTTGGCGTGCAGGCATTTGATGCCTTTTAGGTCCGAGGATCACAGGAAATGTTTTAAAGCCTCTCTGATGACTGTGAGCTGATGGTGTTTGCCCCCCCGTCAGGCGGAGTACTCGGAGCTGGTGGAGGCGCTGCTCTCCTCGCAGAGGGACGCCGTCATCTACCAGCGGCTCGCCGACGCCTTCAACCAGCTGACGGCCAGCAGCACGCCGCCCACCATGGACCGCAAGCAGAAGGTCGCCTTCCTCAAGAGCCTGGAGGAGTTCGTGGCCAACGTGGGCGGCTTGCTGTGCGTGAAATAACCACTGGACCCACCCCCCCCACCCCCACCCACCCTATGAACTCTGGGTAAAGAGTCAGCTGGAGGAAGGACCCATCTCGTGCTTTCACCTCTGATTTCTGTTTTGGTTTTTTGATCCCGCCCCTCCAGTCCCGTGTGATTGACAGATGTGGTGATGACGGTGTGTGTGTAACGACTGGACTGCAGAGCAGACGGACTCGGTCGCTGACAGACAGACTCGATGGAGGCTGTCGTCCTCCATCACCTCATGTACCTGGAGGCTACACACACACACACACACACACACACAGCGACTTTGATGGTAAAACAAAGTTTCTGTTGTTCAAAAATGGCCAGAAACATTTTCTTTTTCCAGCGAGCGTTTTTGTTGTTGAAACAAAAGGGGCCATTTTTTTTATTGCAAGATTGTCACGGCAACCGCAGACTAACATACACATTTCATTTCTACACACACACGGCGCCCCGATCCTTCCCAGAGTGCCTTTGTTTTGATGATTGTTCTGTGTGTGCAGGTTTTTTATATTTAGTTTTCTCATTTATTAACTGACAACAAAAGCTGCCTGACGTTGGCCGAGGATACAGCGGATGTGGGCGCGCGCGCACACACACACACACACACACACACACACACACACACACACGTGCAGTGACACGCTGCACAGGAGGACGTTCGCTTTCCTTTCATCGCCAACAGACAAACAGACTCTAAAAAGCTTCTTTAAAGGTGTAATATATTAAATGTTTCCACATCTGAAACCACAAAAAACGTCTGTTTCAAAGACACAACAGACACAGCGGAACTGTTTTTATTAGAGAAGAAGAGATGAGCGACTTCCTCGGTTTGATGTTTATTTTTTATTATTTGCTCCTGCATTTTGGATCGTAGTATTATTAATCTCCTCCGGGACTCAAGGAGGCTCCACGACGCAGCGGTGAGGTTTCGCTGTTTTTTTTTTCCTGCTGTGTTTTTCTTACAGCGGCACAGTTTTAACTTTTCACCACAAACACGCGCGCTCACACACTCTCTGTAGTCGGAGCAGAGAGTGTGTGGAGCTGACGGACAGCAATAATAAACCAAATAAAAGGAGCAGAGCCACTTTGTTGCAGCGTTTACGGCACTAAACTGGTTGTTTGTTAATGAAGTGTAAAAGTGTACATAAACTTATTGTATAAAATGAGTGTGGCCTCTTGACTCTTTTTTTTGTTTTATCTCGGGGCAAATTAATTTTTTTATTTTGAATCTAAAAATGTCAGTATGTCAGAGGAAATACTAATACTACAGAAAACATGTTTATAACTTATTTCCCATAGTGACATGAAAGCAAAATACTTCAGTGAAGTAAAAGGCTTTTTGGTTTAGTTTTTATTGGCTGGTCCAAATGAAAAGTTAAGCAACATCGGCGTGTGGATGGTTGTGTGTGACGTGTAGCCCTGTGATTGGCTGGTGATCAACGATGAAGGATGGACCCCGCCCCTCCCCCCCGCGACGCCGTGCGCAGGTTAAGCGGTTTGACGGTGGATCGACGGATGGAGACCGAAGAGAGCGAAGCCAGTGTTTCGTCCCTCGGCAGCTTCCGTACTTTGTGAACCTACGTCATCATTTCGCGACGAGTCGCACGCTCACAACACAGCGGCGCTGAAGAGTCGCGCGGACTTGTTTCTCCTCGCGTACGTTCGCTTTCATACAAGTTAATAACGTGTTCGCGTCGGTTGTGGGAAGGATTTTTTATTTGTATTTTGGAATTCAATATTGGACTGTGTAAGATCTAAAGTAATCAGTTTAACATTAAGTTCAGAGCTTACAAGATTTTCCTGAATTGATCATTATAATAATGATTCGTGTATTTTCTTTGAGCCAATTTACTACAAACCGACTTTTTTTTTATTTGATTACATGACGAATCTTTGAATTTAGTGATCAACAGATCAGCATTTTTACTGATGTTTGGGTAGAATGTATGAATGAATGTATAAATATGTTAATTGTGTGATAATTGATCATGAATTATGTTGGACACTGAAATGTCAACTAAAATGAAAATGTTTAAAAGCAGCTGAATAAGTGTATAAAACCAGAGCCGTGTTTTCTGTGTTCTTTTACAGTTCCACACGTTACCTGCAGAGTGAAGAAACCTGCAAGAGCACCAGAGAGAAAGAGTCATTAATCGACTTGTTATTGGGAATCATTCGAAATCTTTCATGCTTCAGCCATGAGCGAGAGCAGCGACGACGACGCCCCGGCGCTGTCGGCTCACGCCCTCGCCGCCCTGCAGGAGTTCTACAACGAGACCAGCGACGCGCCGCCCGCCCCCCAGTTCACTGTGGGAGCAGTGGAGGAGGACTGGGTGAGGTGACTGGGAGGGGTCACAGGCCGAGGTCACTGGGTTTACTGACTGGGCAGTCAGGGCACAGGGGGGGGGGCTTTCATGACGGATCTCATTGGCAGATAGAAGCTGATTATTTTACCAGTTTGTTTGTTTGTGTCCCCCCAGCGGATGAGTCAGTTCTGGTACAGCGACGAGACGGCGACCCGGTTAGCCGAGGAGCTCGTACGAGAGGCCGGAGAGGGAGGCAGGTAAAACCACACGCGACCACACGCACACAGACACACTCGCATGCGTGTAGACATTTGAACCCACACTGCCCTGCAGGATCGCGTGCGTGAGCGCGCCCAGCGTGTACCAGAAGCTGAAGCAGGGCGTCGTGCTGGGTTCCGACCGCGTCTCCGCCGTCGTGCTGGAGTTCGACCGCCGCTTCGCCGCCTACGGCGACGACTTCGTCTTCTACGACTATAATGAGCCACTAACCCTCCCCCCCCCCGCCGCCACGGAGCACAGCTTCGACATCGTGCTCGCCGACCCGCCGTACCTGTCCGAGGAATGTCTGAGCAAAGTGTCCCAGACCGTCCGGTACCTGAGCAAAGGAAAGGTGCTGCTTTGTACAGGTGAGACTATTCTGGTTATTATAACACATGTTATTAATATTATTATTATGTGTACAGGTGAGACTCTTCTGGTTATTATTACGCATGTTATTAATATTATAATATTATAATAATAATACAAATGCTATTAGTAATACCATTTCCACTTATTTTAGGTCCTTTTTTGTGTTTATTCACATGTCACTTTGGTAAAACAGTCGTATTACGAACAGGTTGTTTTTGTATTTTGAAATGTTCTGAATGTCCATTAGTTGTCACAGCAACATGTTGCTTCCTGCAGGAGCCGTCATGGAGGAGCCGGCCCGGCGCCTCCTGGGCGTCTCCACGTGCCGCTTCCTGCCGACGCACCGCAGGAACTTGTCCAACGACTTCCGCTGCTTCGCCAACTATTCGTCTCAGCTGCTGTCCTGAAGACGCGTCCTCGTCGGAGAGAGACGCTTCGAATGTTTACTGGTTTTACATCATTTCAAACTGGGTTTTGGACTCGTGATCTTTGACTGTGATGGACTCGTTTTCTGAGCGGCTCTGGTGGTCGATGAATGTGGGCGGATGTGTCGAGGTGCTCAGTCAACCCCTTGATGATGTCATACTGATTTGATCATACTGACAAAAAGCCTGCGCGTGTGTACTGAACGCTGTAGACGTGCATTGTGGGTAATGTAGGAGGGAATTAGAAGTAAAGGATATTTTTTCCTCATTTGCTTTGATTTTGACAGTTATTGTCTTTCTTTTTTTTTATACACAGTACTATGCATTATTTTTGAGAAACTAATAACTATAGTAAGGCTTAGTTTTTGTTTTGACAAACTATTAAAGTAATTCCCTCTGATACATTTTGGGAGTCTGCTTTTGGTATGAGGGGAAATTATATTATCACAATTTATAAAAACAAATAAGATGGCAAATTCATTTTTAAACCTCACGTCAGAATGTGATTATTCTGAGTGATGCATTGAGCTTCAGGTGAAATCTGTCTCTAATTATGGACATTTCATTTTAAAATGAAAATGGTGAAACTGGTCTGTGGGTGCGATTTGAAGAAACATCACAAAATACTTTTCCAATGTACAATAGCAATTTCTTTGACTATTTGGACATTTTTTTTTTTTACAAACTGGGAGGATTTTTTCTTTTGACAAACTTTTATAGGACTTTCTTTTTAAAAACAATAAAAGCTCACAAAATTTTGAAGGGCATTAATTTCAATCCCTCCATCTGAATGAATAATTCTTTTTGCATTATGAACTTGCAGCTGGAAGCTCACATGAATGATGAATTCACTCCTACAAAGGTCAGAGTAGAACAAAACCAGATGAAGTGCAAAATGCATTTGAATTCAGAAACACTATTAGGACAGGATAAAGAAAAGAGGAATTCAAACCCCATTCAAGCATTGGACATTAAGACATAGACCCCGTCAGGCTGCAGCCTTTATAGCACTATAAAATAAACATTCATTTACCCATTAAGTCAGTTTTTAGTGTTCATAAAAAAGTCATTTGAGGTGTATTTGATGTTGAAACCATTCTAGTTGATTTGACCTCAGGTATCAGAGTCCTCGCCCTGCAGGTTTCCCTCATGAAGGCAGCTTATCACCACTGTTCTGCTATTAGTGGCCGTCTAACATCCAGATGTTTGGTTACCAGGTAGACTTTAGTGCTGCATTGAAAGGACAAACTGCGGTGGAACCAAAGCACTGCTCGCCGAGCGAGTCCTCGTCTACGTATCAAACCGGCTTAAAGGAAGACAGGAGACAAAAGATTAAAACACTTTGTTTTAATTCAAAAAAACTAAACGGTTCGTCCCAGAAACCTGTTTGAACAGAAGAGAAAGAAGTTAGAAACGACGTGGAGGCGTCAAACGTGGAGATGAAGAAGCCTCACCTGCTACAGCAGCTGGTCCGACCAGATCCGCATCCACCGGGTCTCTGTGGAAACAGGCGGCTTGGAGGGGGCAGCGTGCCGCTTGGGGGCCACAAAGGACGGCGGCTGGGGGGCCACAAAGGACGGCGGCTGGGGGGCCACGTAGGACGGCTGCTGGGGGGCCACAAAGGACGGGTGCTGGGGGGCCACAAAGGACGACTGCTGGGGGGCCACGTAAGACGGCTGCTGGGGGGCCACGTTGGACGGCTGCTGGGGGGCCACGTTGGACGGCTGCTGGGGGCACTCTTAGGACGTCTGCTGGGGGGCCACATAGGACGGCGGCTGGGGGGCCACGTAGGACGGCTTCTGAGGGGCCACAAAGGACGGCTGCTGGGGGCCCACAAAGGATGGCTGCTGGGGGGCCACGTAGGATGGCTTCTGGGGGGCCACAAAGGACGGTTGCTGGGGGGCCCAAGGCGACGGCTGCTGGGGGGCCACGTAGGACGGCTGCTGGGGGGCCACGTTGGACGGCTGCTGGGGGGCCCAAGACGACGGCTGCTGGGGGGCCACGTAGGACGGCTGCTGGGGGGCCGCAAAGGACGGCTGCTGAGGGGGCCGCAAAGGACGGCTGCTGGGGGGCCACGTAGGGCGGCTGCTGGGGGGCCACGTAGGACGCTGCTTGACGAGGCCGGCTGCTGGGGACCACGTAGGACGGCTGCTTGACGAGGGCCGGCTCCTGGGGGACCACGTAGGACGGCTGCTTGACGAGGGCCGGCTCCTGGGGGGCCACGTGGGAAGTCGGCGGGGCAAAGGGCATCATCTTCCTGCCACTCACCTCCTTCTGGTCTGCAGGGGCCCTCAGCCGTCTGATGGCGAAGCCACCAAAGTGCTGAGGGATGTTGTGGATCTCTGTCGGGGCAAAGCCCGGACCGGGGGCCCCCCCGCCGCCAGTCCCGGAGGCAGGGAAGTTGGGAATCAGTTGTCTCTGGTTATTCCCGTTCCGCTCACTTGGGAAGGACGAGAAATGGGAAGGTCTAAACGCTGCAGACCTGCGCTGTGAAGAGACTCTTGTAGCAGCGGCGCTGGCTGAGGTTCTGGTCCGATCGGGGACTTTGTTTGAAGCAGCAGCACCGGAGTCAGACGGGCCGGAGGCCTTCATGTACGGGAGAGAACCTCTACCGGAGTGGGCCGGTGCTTCGGCCGGGGGATTCTGGGGATAGCTGCCACCAAATCCACCACCCTGTGGTGAGAAGCCTTTTTGTGTATCGGCTGCAAGGGAAACAAGGCGTAAATCCACAGCTGGCGAACCAGGTTGATGAATGACGGGAAGGTTTGAGTGTTGCTCACCTTGTGCAGCCCACCAACAGAACACACGCTCGGCCTGAACGAGGCAAATCAGCAAGATCCTGCAAAGTCATCCAGTCAGAACCGGTACAGCAACTGAACAAATGCTGAAAACGAATTCAAAAACTCACCCCAAACGAACTCCACGAGACATCTCTGTGTTCCAAAGAGAGCAGCCTGCTCCGACACACAAACAACTGCTCTGCTTGTTTGTGCGTCGGAGAGGTAGACTTTATCACAACCTGCATCCAATCACAGCTTCATGTGTCCGCCGGGATCCCTGAGAGTCAATCAACCAACCAATCAATCCGGGAAGCTGCAGTTCACGCTGGCAGGGTCACAGTGAGCAAACACCCCATGTTCACCAGGCGGAGTTCAAAGACTTCCTTCCTGGTATAAAGGCTGCGCTCCAGCAGTCCGTCAATGACCTCTTAGTCTGCTCCTCACCACTTCACCGTGACCTCGGCGCTGAAGGAGAGAGGGGACGGAGGAATCGCGAGGGTTTGGGGAAGGACCGACCTGCCAGGAGCCCAATGGACACCTCCAACGGGGCCGCGTGGTGATGTCATCGACGTGGGTCTGCAGACACAAAGTTCACCCAATGGACAGAAAGCTCCTCTCAGACACTTGGTCCCTGTGTTCTCACAGCGTTGCCTTCGGGGGGAAAT